ACCCAGAAGGGAACATAACAGGTATACTCCAAACAAGCGAGTGCGTGCGAGTGCGGAAGTACAACGGTCCCAAGCTATTTATAGTAGGGAAAATGGGTAGCTTTGTCCAATGCTGACGCATGCGGTCTGACTTTGGTACGAGGCTGCGACGAGCTGTATATTGCATATTGATCAACACTGACTCGCGTTGTCTGGCTTTGATACAAGGCTGTGAATCACTGCATATTGAAGGGGCGTTGTCTGTCTGGTCAACATCTAGCGGAGCTGAGGGTCTCAGCAGATTTCGGGCACTCAGTGGTCGCTTTCAGGAATCTGACCCTCCTGATAAATGCTGTACAATGAAGTTAACCTAATAGGTTCTAAACGCGGTGAAGTATTGGTAGCTGGGGTGAGTTTATTGGTTAGCAATTGGCTTGCAAGCCAACTGCCAAGCTCGGCGAACAGATCAACAGCCATCTGGTCAACAACCAATAGGTTCTAAACGCTTAAAATTGTTAAGTGAGGGTATGTCTAGCTTCAGAATTTGTTAGAGCGAAGTGGGTCGATTTGGATGACTCAGTAAACAAGGTCGTGTGCTACCGGATTTGCTCTTCTGGCAAATACGACTGGGCTCTCCGCGCCATTCTGGTTATAGATGCACTTTTTAATTCATGATGCAAATACTAGAACCCCTCCAGCCCATTTACAGATTATTACACGATAGACCGGGGGTGTTTTGTACGTGTAACGTTACTCTAATCCGATTCAGCGGTGTACTTATTAACTCTCAAGTTGGAACTGACGGGAAACATCAAAATTTCCCGCAAGAAAGAACCATCTTTGTCTAAGAGAGATAACTAAATGTGGCCCTTGAGCAAGATGTTAGCCGATTTGGAAATGAGTGATCGAAGACTTCTCAGCAAAGATTCTTGGCATGCACATTACGAAAGTTGCGGAGATTATATCGGAAATCTGACACCAGCAGGAAATATATATTCCTGTAGGATGGTCAGACTGATTCGCCAATCTGTTATATCTGACTGCTGACCCGCTCCAGTGCCTAATGTCGGAAAAAAGACTCGCGGAAGGGAACACAAGAACTATATTCCGAACAAGCGAATGCGAGATTGTGAGTGCATACGAGTGTAGAAGTACAACGGTCTCAAGCTATTTATGGGAGGGACACTGTCTGACTTAGTATAAATGCTGATGTACGCGGTCTGGCTTTGGTACAAAGTTGTGAATCGCTGCATATTGAGGTGGCGTTGTCTGTCTAGTCAACATCTAGCGTAGCTGAGGGTCTCAGTAGATTTCGGGCACTCAGTGGTTGATTTCAGGAATCTGACCTTCCTGATAGACTGAAATTAGACAGCCTTTTCATTATTCCTAGCTATTCTTCAAACGTAGTCAAACTATCTCTATGAATGTCCCCTTACTCTTCAAAAGTTCTCTACGGTCGATCCTTCCGGAAAAACGTTTTCACTCCTCCGGACTCTGTCATCGCTTGAACTGGCTAGAGTTTTTTGGAACCACATTCAGTTCCACGAGATATTAGTTTGAGCACATGAATCCGACCTTCATCTATTCTCAACTCATTCCAGGGAGTTGAAAACGCAAACGTTTGCACATACACCGAAACAAAGAACTTGATCCAGTTTTTTGCAGAGCTTAAACAGATTAAGACAGATTCCATCTGATGTAGAGTGTGCCAATTTGTGCTCATGGATGAACACAACGGACTTAACTCATTTGCGCAGCTCAGTGTTTCCGTCCGATGGGAACGCAGTACAGTTCGACAGTATTCCGGCTTTCGGACTCCTGCCAGGGGACTGTATGGTAAGTGAAAACGATGTGTCTGCCACTTTTAGATGACAATGTTCAATTTTCCCTGGGTCAGAAGTGATCCATCTTGTGAGGCAGAACTTCGGAAATAGGACTTTCAGGGGAATGCACGCCAAATGTGTGTGATCGACAGAAAACTACGAATGACCAGTAACCAAACGCCACACAACGAAATTTGTGGAGCTAGTGGATTCAGTCGAGTGATTCACAGCATCTGACATTCTAGCTAGACTTAAGCGTTCTAATCCCCCAATTTCATTGTGTTTGGATTCCTGGTGAACCCTTCCTGC